ATAAGGTTGTTGCTCATTAACATCAGCAGCTCATTTTGACACGCAGGACTTGTGTAGGAATGATACTTCTGCAGCCAGCTTGCCAGATTGGGGTCATTCTCAGCCTTCTCATCCAGATGCTGCTTGAAGTTTCCGTCATCATTGTCATGACCTCTGAGAGCTAGGCCCTGTTTAGCAAGGTACCTCACTGAACTAACAATTTCTATCAGTGCTGACCTGGCCTTCTCTTGTGCACTTTCTGAGATGCTGCATAGTTGCATTCTGACTGACCTGTGTGTGTGCGTGTGTGTGTTGACAGCAATTATGTGTGCCCTACTACCAGCGTGCCTGTCAAATGACTCCCTAGCCTTCTTCCAGTTTCTGAACCCCTGAGAAATAAAGGTATGTTCAGTTTTTTTTTGCCATTGTTGAAATGTTCTTTTTAAAAGCAGTTGTGCAGTAGAAGCACAAAACTCCTTTTATTTCAGGACTGTAATGGAGCCAGGGGAAGATTTTGAACCAGCTCTCCTGGAAGTGAAGAGTGCGGTTCGGCAGAGTTTGTGGCTCAATGAGCTGTGCTGCTGGTTGGTATGGGGAACTTGGACCCTCAGCTGTATGGATCTCCTGGTTTGCATGTGGAGGGTTATCCTGCTTCCCGAGATCAGTAGCTGATGGCTCGACCTATAATGTAATTATTCAGTTGTCATTAGTTTCTTTACATAGTTCTCAGAAATGTTTTGATTCTACACTGTTCTCCAATTGGTCTACTATTGCCATGATGTTATATACACAACTTACTTTTCTGTTTGTATTTTAGTAGTAATTGTAGTGTTGTAGATCTGTTGTTTTAATCAAATCTGTTTTCCTTCCACATTTTTGTACAAGTTGAACCAATGCAAAGCCCTGCAGATGGATAAATCTTGCATATGTTTGCTTCCTGAACCCTCACCTGCTGAATCTGATCTGAGCTTGTTTCAACACTCTCCATTTCTTCATCCAGTGATTGCACTTGCTGTAAGAGTATACCAAAGTTGGTTTCATATTTACTGTAAGGTTATATGATTTTCTGTTGATGTGAATTTCACCTCTGCATTCTCAGCTGCCTGTTCCTGCGTGTCTTCATTTTCCTCTGTCACATGCTGTTCCTGATAGAAAAAGGGTATTCAAATAAACATTACAACTTGTGGGATTTGATTTTTTTTTAATTTGCAATGCAGCATAGACTTTGACTTAATTATCTTTGGTTTTGTTGGAAAAGTTTAGGTTCTTTGGGTGTCCATTATTTGACATCCAAAAATGAGACACATTCCTGAAGCACTGAACTTGTGTGTTGTTTACTTGAAGAAAGCTTTTGACTTTAAAATGTGCTGGTTCTTTGTGGTTAGAAAATATAAATAACTTCAGCTAGGCTAATAAGTCAAAAAGTGGAAAAAAAATATCTGTGGAAATAACTTAACGGTTTAAAAAAAGATACCCTGAAACAAATTGGTCAGTCATATGGGACAAAAATCTGATGCACTAAGACACATGTGACTCTAGGGGGTGCTGATTCCTACTGAACAAATGTAGTGCTATTTTGTAGTATCAATGCCATCAAAATCTGATTTAAGGTTAACACAGTTTTGCAAGGCTATGAAAGGGCTTGTTAAGGTCATGTAAGGGGTTAGGGTCATGCTGTTGGAATCTCACTTTTACACCCCCAAACTACTCTGAGACTTATTCATTTACACACTTCAACCTAAAAATGTATCCCTCTAATACTTTTTAGTTATGGATGGGTCATTTCACATAATAGGACCATTTGCTAGATGGGGACCTAGTTGGAATTAGTTAAACAGCACCACTCAGTAACAGGTGCAACTCCTGGATGTTAGTAGGCTACTGCAACCGTTCAGAACCATCCACTTGAGCAGGTCGGGAGTATATCACGGCTGTGCTGTTGTATTTATGTATTGTAAGATGAAGTCTTCTGAAAACGATGAAAACCTAGACATTTTATCAGTTTATGAAATCTTCCCAGATGCCCCGCCCTAATGGCACATAAAAAGCAAAAATGTCACGGAAAAAGAGTTTTGGTCACCTAGCATAAACTGGATGGTTTTTAACCGTTATTGCTGCTAGCTAACTGTTACCAGTAGAGAAACTTGCCCTCTTTTATCTACTACTAAGTAAGTCAATATTAAATGATAAAACTGGATATCTTAGTCTTTTTTGTAGGGATGCACTTACAGCACATTTTTTCTTGCCGAAAAACCACCTGATATCGGTTGCATTCTTTCTTTTCGACATGGTTGACGGACACCTACTTTTCACCTTCTTCACTTAAAAAAAAATCAATCCGGTAGTTCACGGACAGCTAGGTTGTGGGAGCGTGGAGTTGACCAGAGAGTGGAGCCTGATAAAGATGAGTATTTTTCTCTGAAAATCTAATTTGATAGTCACAAATAATATAACAAGGATATATATATATATATATATATATATATATATATATATATATATATATAATACACGATCTTTTTTGCTAGGCTAGCTACATGGATGTAAAGATTCCACCTTGCTTACAGGCTAATGGGGGGGTTTTAGTGACGTTGGAAAAACAAAACAGGATTTTAAATAACTGTCAATACACTACTGTGCATATTGGAGTGAAACATTAAAAACTAATGAATACTTAAATATGCTAGCCTATTTAATGATTGTCCCCAGCAATTTTTAAACCCCAATCAAGTGTATGGTTATTGTCCCCAGCAATTCTAAAAACAAACTGACGCCCTTGTTAACACCACTATCAGTTCAGCACTAGATTGGTCTTTTACTTTGAACTTCATGTTTTTACAAGCATATCCAGCTCATCAAAGGATACAGTTGGAATTTCTCAATATTTGTGCAGAAATAAGTCTAATGGTAAACTGAGCTCAGTGGAAGAGTTTCTAAAAACAACTTCTGTATGAACTGCAGTTAAACTGCAAACATGGGGAAAAAAAGAGCTTAAAATTTTTATTCCTGCCTTTTAACAACATTGCATAGCTATAAATACATTGTGAAGATAAAAAACAAAGAAAAAAATTAATAAAGTGGTTCTCAAAAGTGTTAAACATTAGTGACAGGACTTGTGGCTTTTTGAAATAGCTACTACTAAAAAACCCCGTTGATAACATAGTTTGGACTGAAAGCAACCAAATAGACCATCCAGTTGTTGGTGTTGAACCGCCACACTTACCTGGGTCCGACAATCATTACGCACTCACGTATTTTGCAACAGAACACCACCGGTGTGAGAGATTATATCGGAGAAAGAGAAAAACGGTGTCTGGTGTTTAGCACTATCTCGTTTCCTCTGGCAACATGGGTTTCCAGTTCCTGCAGAAGTGTCTCAGGGACGATACCCAAGGGGAGGGGTGAATTTTCTGTGACTGTTTGCATTCAAAGCCTAGCTTGTTCTGTAGATTCAGCTTGAAATGCTTCACATGTAAGAAATAAGTGCAGATTTAGGACAGCAGTAATCCAATGTACACTGAACATTATTGTTTTTGCTCCCATTTTTCATGAGCTGAACACAAATATCTGAAACGTTTTCTACATGCACAAAGACCCATGACTCTAAAATATTGTTCTGAAATCTGTCTACATGTGTGTTAGTGAGCACTTTTCCTTTACCAAGACAATCCATCCCACCTCACAGGTGTGGGATAGGGGCTGATTAGACAGCATGAATAATGTCCAGGTGTGCCTTAGACTGTCCACGATGTAAAATGGGAGCAAAAACAAAAGTCTTGTGCTTATTTTTGTTCAGTGTGGATATGGGTTCATTCAAGCTAAAAATAGGGAGGTCTGAATGGACCTTCATCCAAGGAAAATTGCTTTTGTCTTAAAACAAAATAAAACAAGAACGAGTTTCTAATTACATGACTATGTCTGTATAAATATAAAGAAAATGTTGGAGATGAAAAGTATTTTAAGATGGCGGAGACAAACTCTAAACACAGGCCACTCAGGAACCAAATGGAGACTGGTGATTATTTAGACCTTTTAGAAAGAAACTCGTTTAAAAATCTATTTTAAACTGTCAGGGGCATGGCCAGGGAGTGGCCTGGGGTGGCAAATGCCACCCTTGGAATCTGATTGGCCACCCCAGGTGCCAACACACTAATTTACCTTTAAATAGGCTTTTCATTGTCCACAAAAGGCTTGGGGGTAAAACAAAAAAGCATAACCATTGGTGCCACCCATGCACAAATTTGTGCCTCACCTGGGCCACCCCATTTTAAAAGATCTGGACACGCCACTGTAAACTGTTTATTCTATCCATCCATTTTCAGCCCCTCATCTGAATTTGGGTTGTGGGGGCAGCGCCTGAGTGGCCCAGACTTCCCTCTTCCCAACCACTCTGGCCAGCTCCTCCGGAGGAAACCCAAGTCGTTCCCTGGCCAGCCAAAAGACCATAGTCTCTCCAACATGTGGTCTTCCCTTGGGTCTCCTCCTAGTTGGACGTGCCCAGAAAACGTCAACAGGGAGGCGTCTTAACCAGACGCTTGAGCCACCTCAACTGGCTCGTCTCGATGTGGAGGGGCAGTGGATCAGATTTAATTTCCCTGAAAATCAAACACTTTCTGTTATATTTTCCTCAATGTTTTCTGATTGGACAACATACTTTCTGTCTCTAACCAAAACTGCACTTTTTATTTTCAGAAATATTCCTAAAGGGATCATTTTGTTGTACTAAATTCTTAACATACAGTTCTAGGCCTTCAGACGATTTTTTTTATTCTTTGCAGGTTGTTGTTGTTTTTCCCATCTAATCCAAATTTCTACAGTGATATTTAAAAATACACTTGTGCCCACATAATGAAGGCCTTCCTAACAATGAAGTGGGTATTCCCTGTGGTGTGTGGGGGCTATGTTGTGCACCATTTAAGATTACGCATGACGACAGCATGATTCATGACAGCACACGAAAAATCCCACAAACTATCATTTATCATCCAGTTTAGTGACGAACATCCTGTGTCTAGTCTGGGTACATTTTCACCGCACAGCCAGCATTAATGACGCAAATATTTATGAACAAAAAAATAAGAAAGGAAGCGCAAATAATCTTGCAGGACAAAGCCAGTATCAATGTTTTATCTGCACAGCTACAGTGGTCGAGGAAGATAAGAGGAAGAGTAAGCGTAATTTACTTTGCGTAACGCCTACAACCCAAGGACGTACGAGGAAAGCAAATACAGGCGAGACTAAGAGGAGGAGGAGGGCGTAGGTTGTGCTTTATGGAGCCGAGGGAAAGCTACAGAAATCCTTCAACGACCTGATCCAGGAGCGCGCTCGGACACCATGGCTTGGGCACGGCGTCTTTCAGATGCAGCAGCACGTCGGAAATAAATAAAGGCCTCCGCCGATGGAGCCCGGAGCTCTCTAATCCAGCCAGAAACCTCCCTGTCAGGCAGCGACCAGCTACGGAGAAGGGTGAGGCGTCGAAACCAGCATTTCGTCATTAATGCAGTCAAAAACAAAGATTACAAATCGCCGAAATTCCGCCTCGCTTCTGCCGAGAATGGCTTTTTGTGTGTGCGTGTATATTTCTGGTCGCGCAGCTGTTTGTTGCAGTCCTTCAGTTTGTCTCTTTTCTGTTCAACAGGACACTTTATTCGAAGTTGAGGGAATTTATGGGCTCACAAGGTATCCTTTTACTCTTACACGTCTCTGACAGCGCGTTAGCGTGTGCTTTAGCGCCTGTCGTGAGCTTTTATTTGCTTTGTTTACAGTCGGAGGTGGTCTCAACAGCTGATTTGTCCTCAGTTTGTTTCAGACATCCTGCTGTCACAGCTAATAGCTGCCCGGTTATAAATGCTGGATTCACGTTGTCATCCTGAAGTGAACCGAATTCAACCCGGCTTTTATTTTGAAATTATTTGAGCTTCTCTACCAGAAAAGCTAACAGAGCCTGAAGACAACACAACTCTTGTTGCCATGTCTGAACAAATGCTAACGTAATCTCCCCATCATGCATCTGAAATCCACCCGTTAGCTGAGTGCATCATCCTCAAAGAGAGCATTCTGTTGTTTCGTAAATTATAAATGAAGCTGTGATTTGTTCTGTGAATCTGGAATGACTTTTACGTGCTTCTCTGTGCAGTGTCTTCTGATGAGATGAGTGTGCGTGCTGGCCAGGGCAGTGATGAGGTGCTGGTTTCTCAGGCAGTATGGGATTACCTGGCTGCAGCCGGGCGGCCCTGGCTCATTGACTTCCAGCGCAAGCAGGGGATGAGCGTTGGGATCATTAGGCGTGGAGAGAGAGGGGGTTGTTGTGCTGTGAGGCTGCAGCCGGTGGAGGGCTTGAGGAACTCTAGATCTGGAGTGATGGATGGACCCGTCTCCAGCGAGACTCGGAAAGCCTTCATTGACTTATGCCGATGTGCCCGGAAAGAAATGAGCAAACAGGAAGGGGGGCCCAAGAGAAAGAGAGCTCTGCTCCCTTTTGTGGGAGCCCTGGAGCAGAATGTAGAAGGGAGCCTGCTTCAGCCTCCACCTCCCCAACCTCGACGATCCCAGAGACAGCAGCAGAAGTTCAGAAAGCCTGCTGATGAAGAGGCGTGCGCTGTGCTCCATGAGGCAGCCCAGAGGAAAGACATGGACGCGGACGTGGCCTCCCCCAGCGAGGCAGAGGATAGTAATACGTGTTCGATTTGCATGGGGGAGATAGTGGACAAGACCACTCTGGAAAAATGTGGCCATTCATTTTGTCATTTTTGCCTGGATCAAGCCTTTAAGGTGAAGAAAGCATGTCCTGTGTGTCGACTGGTGTATGGCCAGCTGATTGGGAACCAGCCTGCCAATGGTTCAATGGTTGTGGAGAGAGATCCTGATCTGGAGCTTCCTGGTCATGAAGGCTTTGGGTGTATCTGGATCATCTACAGCTTCCCTCCTGGACGACAGACCGTAAGTAAAACATGGAACAGATAAAACATTGATACTTGCGTAATAATGTTTAGCTTTTCTGACTGTTAAAAACCACAGCCTTATGATCAATTTGCATTCAATGCTTGCTGAGCTGTACCTGTGTAAGGTTTACCATGTAAACATCATCTTGAATTGGCTGTGAATTTATTTTTGACTGCCCAACGTAAACCAGTATGAAGACAACTCGTGTTGCAACACCTACAAAGTGTTAAGTTTGTGAACACAAGTGAATAATTTAGCGAGAGCAACACTCACAAACCCATATGTATCATTGCAATTTTCACATGGCATTCAAGCCAGGGACAAAGATGCAGGACTTTTCTTTGTTTCATCTTTGTTTCTGAAGTAAAATCTTTGGGAACCATTTCTCATTTACAAGCATGACCTTACCAGGAGGCCTGGAACTTTGATCATGGCACACATTTCTTGCCAGATTGTGAACAAGGTTCTGACTGAGAGACAAATGGGTACAAATTAAACTTTCTACATTAATTAAAGGCCTAGCATTCCTTAAAGGTGTGATTGACTGATTTTCTGATTATCAGTCACTCTGAGTTTTTCATGCAGGCTGAACATGAAAGTAGTCTCCTACACCTATCTCCTGCATTAGCTTCTGAGAGAAAATGGAGGGCGAAATGCTAGTATTTGTAAATCCTCACAGATCTACATCATACTGTGAATTGGCATTCATGAGCCATTTTTACAAAACAATGCCATCAAATTGCCACAGCGCCATGGCGGCATATGGGAGCCATAGTGCGTTTATAAGTGGTCAGACCATGGCAGTAATGTGGCGCAATCGTGTCCTTTTAACAAAAGATTATCCGAATGTGGTATAAAGGGGGCATGGGGGTGGTCTCTGCGCTGCCGCGGACTTCCATTTATCTTCGACATACTTGCTTTTTATTGCGACTGAAGCTGTGATCGTTAAGTTTTTATGACAAAGCCGCTCATAAAGGTGTCTGGTCGCCACAGTCCCCATGCAGTCTCTGGTGATCTGAACTCCAGCTCCAACAGAAGCTCATGGAGCGCTGCATCACTTTAGTTTATAATTTCAGCTGCTTCTGTTTACAAAAGTGAAACCTATTGTCTGTGTTTACAATAATGTTCAATATAGTTGCCGGTTGGAGCTCGGCAGTAACTCTCCACGTGATCATGACAACTGTTTCTGTTGCGTCAAGGTGCAATTTGTCACGAGCGCAGGGGAGTTGAGTGGTTGAGGTAAGGATCCAAAATGCAGGGGAAAAAGGCAGGCAGGAGTAATTATAAAAAGGCTTTAATGAAGAGCACACAGGACACTGAAACAATGGATGGACGAGGTACACAGAACTGGGAGGGTTTAAATACAAGAGGAGCTGGGATCTTAAGTGATTGGGAGACGAGAGGGAACAATTAGGGAAGACACAAGACTGAACAGAGAGTGGGGAGACAGGACAGAGTGTGACACAATCACCTTTAATATGGCAGTTGCCGCAATATTATTACTACCAAGCAAGGTGGAACGAATGTTGAAAAATTCGTGCATCACCATGCAGGCATAGCGCGTTTATAAGGCACGCTGTTCCGGTCATATTACGCTGATTTGCTGGCACGGTGCATGTTGTAAAAGGCTATGGATTCACCCATCTTGAGTCACGACAAGGAAGGCTGTTGTTTTAACCTCCGGTAATCAGCAGAGAACATTTTGGCTAGTTTAAGCTAACCATTAGCATTAGCAACTTCCCCTCATAGCAGAAGCTCCCCAAGGCTTGTGTTGTTTGTGGAAATAAAACATCCAAATTGCAAGTCGGTGGTAGAGTTGTGTTGCTGTTATCCAAACCAGGGCCAGATGTCCAAATATCAGGAAAAAAGACCCCAAAACCTGCCGTCTGAAGCTCAGCTGTGATGTGAGCAACTTTTAGGTCAGAGAAATGGTGCACCGGTATATCAAAGTTAAGGAATACTTCGGTTGATGCAAAGTTGATGAACTTTTCATGGACAGTTGTCTCTAAAATATAAATATATGAGAACACAACATGACGTGAGAATAATACTTGTAAAACTATGTGTCTTAGCTCTGTTTGTTGGCTACAGAAGCACATTTATAAACTAGAAACGTAAAATCGCCATTGTAGTGGTGACTCCTTGTTTGTCCAACCAATTTCCTTAGGGTTTTAAATCCTTAAGCCACTGCTGTACTGAAGTGATATCTTGTACGCAGGCAAAAGAAGTCCAATGTCCAAACGATCTTAACTGTTGAATATTTTTGATGTTTATTCATCCAACTTGGAAAGTACTATGTACATCTCCATTTCCTGCTGCTTCTCCTGCTCTGGTATAAATAAAAATTATAGGCCCACCCCAGTGCATGCTGGTCCAACACCAGTCCCCATATTTATAGAAAACAAAACACCTATTGTCTTCCTGGCTGATTCTCACAGGCAAAACAATAAATAAAATCATCATTAACCAACAACTAAACCCAAAAAAATAACCCCAAAACTGTAAGTAACCCAAATAGCGCCAACAGCCATCTTAAAAAGAACTAAAGGAGAAATTATTTGTGTGATATGCTTGTCAGCCATTATACGGTGCCATCAGATAAAGAAAAACTCCGGAAAGATACTTAAATATATCTCAAACTAGGGTGAAGCTGCTTTTAGCTACTATGCTGCACAAAGATGGAATCAGCTTCCTTATGACCTCATATGTTTTTTATACTGCACCTTCTTCATTGTAACTGCTCACACTTTAACTTTGTTTTTGTCTTTTTTTTATCCTTAAATCTGAATTGAATTTGTGTGTTTTTTAATTGTGCTGTCTCGTCAATTTTAATGTTCTTGCTATTCTTTGCTAATGGAAAACACGTTGAATTGCCTCTGTGTATGAAATGTGCTATATAAATCAAGCCGCATTGCCACGTCCTTCTCCGTGTCTGTCTCCATCAGCTTGAACACCCCAACCCTGGTGTTCGATACCCAGGAACAGACCGCGTGGCCTACCTCCCTGACAGCCCTGAGGGGAACCGAGTGCTGGGCCTGCTGCGCCGGGCCTTTGAACAGCGCCTTATCTTCACCATCGGTACCTCCATGACAACAGGCTTACAAAACGTCATAACCTGGAATGACATTCACCACAAGACCTCAATGTGGGGTGGGCCGCGCTGGTACGTATTGGCTCTCAGCTGAAGGTGAACAGCTGCTGGGATTGAATTTTGTAATATTACTAATGACTGTCTGAAGCGTAATAGCTGCTGAGAAATGGGCTTCATAAAGACAGACATATCTAATGTGTGCTTCTCACGGTGTAATCAGTGGGTCGATGGCACTGTTCCTGTTGGCTCATGATGACTTCTTATTTCTCCTCACAGCTTTGGCTACCCAGATCCTACTTACTTGGTGCGAGTGACAGAAGAGCTCAGAGAGAAAGGAATCATAGCAGACTGACTCCATAACAATGATAGATTCTTCCAGGACTTTGTCCTTGCTGTGGACATGACTCAGCTCCAGGATTTGCTCTTTGTCCAGCCATCACTCAAAAGATGGCTTAAGGCAAAAAACCTCATGTGACAGGTGTCTAATGCTGCAGAAGAGCTCATATCTCCTCTTTTGGCTGTTCATTCGTTTTTAGTTTTCTTTGCAAAGTTCAGTTGATCCAGAACACCATCACTAGGAAGAAAGTAAAGTGCAGAGCCCTTTTGTGTTCCAAGACATCAAACTGTCACTTCTGGCAGCCTGGCCTGAAATCTGATGCACTTATTCAAGAGCTGAGATTCATGGAACTTGTGTTATTTAGGACAATCTTTAGTTTAACCTTTATTTTCCTCCCTGAGGCTCATTTTAAGTCCTGAAAGCACACATCCTTGGTTCCATTTCCCTGCCATGTCAGTTTGATTGTTAATAATTACCTGTTGTTATGATTGTATTTGGTTTAAAAAGCACTGCTTAAAAAATCTGATTAAAACCTTTTGATGTTATTGCAATCTAATGCACTCATAGGCACTTTGGTAAGGCAGTTTGTTTTTTGGCTACATAAGAGTAATTGGTTTTTACTTCCTGTTTATGAAGGGTGCTCTGGGCTAACTGGTTTGTGAGCCATAAGCAGTTTGCTGGCAACAAGCTAACACCATTTGCTTAGAACAATTCATTCTTGTGTGTGATCCTCAGCTCATGACTTATTTTTACTTAAACAAGAGGATTGTTAAGCGATGTCTCACTGCAGCACCTTTTAGGCATGCATTGACCATTTTCTCCAGTTATTTCAAGATGTCTCCTAGGCCTTGAGCCCATTACCTCACTTGTAAGTAACATGCTCCATTGGTTTACCAGATTTTATGACGATGTCAACAACGAAGGGCATATAGACCACTTGAACCAAATCAAAGGCACAAAAGCTCTTAAACGATCTATGCTTCGGTCCCTGCCAAACTGGGAGATCTGCCTATTTCTCTTCTCATTTTTAATTAGATAAATGTTGCAAATTTATAGAAATATAACCCATAACACCAGAGTTAGGATTGAGTGATTTGATTTAAGGTGGGATACTGATCTCATTTTGGTGTGCCTTTCTGATGTTCATTTTTGATTAAAAGGAAATTCAAGCTTTATGGCGTTAGTGAGTGGGAAGCTGTTTTGGTGAAATTAAAGTATTAAGGGACTTGGTTTCTAGCGATATGCCCATTAAAACCAAACATAAAAAATGTGTTCTTAGACCCCTCCTCTTCCTAGAATCATCCTCACACTCTGAATGCAAAAACTGACCCTCACCCATCACTGATTTGAGCATTCATATCTGTATGTCAGTTTTAATTTGTGTTTGCTACCTTTTTGTTTTAGTTTGGGGACCAACTGAGATCTTTGTGGGACAAAGGATTGTAGTTAATGCAACCGTTCAAACCTTTCTATGCATACATGACTGAGGATGGGGCCAAGGGAATGGACAGGAAGATGGATTCCCTAAGTTACAAACTGATTGTCGAGTTAAAGTTTTGCTTTTGTAATTATGTTGATTTGTTGTTACCCAGAATTATGTGCTCCACATTTTAATACTTGAATAAAAAGTTCTGTTTGGATTTGTCTGGGGTACTAAATGTGGGCCCTGGATAAAGTAAAGTGTTCCTGCTCACAGAGCTGATTTGCAAGTTTATTTAGTCATTTTAAAACATGATCTTTATTAGTGTATTGGTGTTTTAAAATGATGACTTCAAGTTTTCACCTTACAGAAATCATCAAAGAAATTTTCTAAAAAAAAAATCAGACATTTTCTAATTACATGTGGGTCACTCATCTAACCTCCACACCTGTTAAATCATTCTTCAATAATGACATTTTCTTTAATATAGAGATCATTTTAAAGAAAATAATTCATTTTATTACCTTTTTAAAAATACAATGATACATTCAGCCAAAAAAAATATTTCCGTTTGACTTAAACTGTAAATAAAAATTCAGTAACATGCAGCTAAAAATAAACCAAAATATTGACTAATCTGCCAATTTCTGCTTCTTTATTGTGGTTTTTTTATTTACTTGAAGTCTTGGACATTTAATTTTGTTCATATTCAACATGATGCTGTGAGAACAGTAATCACGGTTTATTTGCTCCTGATGTGGACTCTGCTCTGGATGCATTCCACAGTTGATGACTGAATATTTAATGAGGTATGGATGTTAATCAACAGAAGTCCCCTTCACACCTCTCATATATGCCGTCTGCCTCTAGCAGTCTTTTAAAGGCACAAGTGTGGCTCAGAGTTAATGAAAGAATGATGCTCTTTCCATATGACCACACGTGTGACATTTCCCACTCATTGAAAATAATTACAATTTTTCATAAAATGAATTAATTTATGATAGAAATACTACACTTACTGAATTGATTGATTGGTTGATAGAGCTGCAGGATTCTGGCCAATGGCAAATTGAAAAACAAAACAACAGCTGACAACTATTTTTGGTGCATTCCAAATTTTCTAAAATGGCAATAATTAAAGGTGGAATATGGAACACGAACACCAAAGCGACATCTAGTGTTTGGAGGTTGTTGTTGCACCAATAAAACAATTTTTCCAGGATGCCAGGTTCGCTGATGATATGAGAAATCTTTTATTTGGGTCCATCTGTTGTAGGCTTCACCTAAGCCCAATCTGGTTTTAGATCTTTCATGGTAGCTCCTCTTCACGACATCTTCTCGGCTCAGAAGCAGCTGACTTGCCAAGTCCACCATTTTCCTCTCTTTGCCGAGCGGACTGTTTGGCAACTCGCAATGATGTGCTCTATTGGCTGTATGATGTAAACATAAACCCAGTGCTATGCCGTCAAAAATAAATAATTGATAATTTTTTAATTTAAATGTAGCTTTTAAAGAAATACTGTACCTTCCTTCTGCACACCTCTAAATGCCACAAGGTATTATTTTAAAAAATAAAGAGCATTTTATTAAATTCAACCTTTAATAGAGTACTAAAAGATCCTGGAAGTTGAAAAAAAATCTGTTATTTCTAGTGATTTTAATTTAACATCATCCAACTAAGCAGATAATGCTGATCATTGACTGATTCCAATCACCAAGTGATTTTATTGTGCATCATTAATATTTTCCATATAATCAAAATGAGCTTTTCAAACACAATTTAAAGTTTTCTGATATCTATGGAAGCCCATTCCCGCCACTCAGATAAAAAAAAATTATTATCTCATAATTATGGCTTAGCTATCTCATATTTATGATATCGTATCTCATTATTATGACGTAGCTATCTCATAATACTGGCTGTGTCTCAATTCAGGGTCTGCATCCTACCTCGGCCGGATTCGTCGGCCGGTTACGTCACAGCGCCGCGACTCGGCCTGTCCCAATTCGAAGACTCCTTCAAATGCGGTCGACGAATGCGGCCTTCTTTTCGCCTGAATGAAGGATGGGTCGGGTGTATCCTTCAATAGGTAGCATTTCCCAAGATGCCTTGCGGGCCGGCCGGCAGAAAAACTTAAAAACAATGGCGGACAGTGAAGCGGGAGCTGTCGGAGAGGATTGCGCATATACATGTAAGTATAAACTTGAAAACTGTCAGTTTAAGGACTTTTTGTGATACATGAACGTTATTTTAGTTAGAAATGTTACAGTAAAAGTGCTTGTATTGCGGTCTCGGCTCGTATGTTCGGCCGCGCTCGGTGTCGTACTTCTCCCGCTACGTTTCCCCCTGATTTTAATAGAAGTTTGTATTTTAGGAACAAAAGAGAAAACCAGGGAATTTATTAAGCTTAGGACGGAGATGGACCACATGATCACCGGAGCAAAGTATTCGGCGGCTGTGGCATGGAGGTACAATAACATCTCATATTTTAAAAACTCGTTTGAGTTTATTTTTTTTCTGCGAAAACATGAAAGGAATAACCCGTTGTCCTCTTTTCTCTTCCTGTTTCTTTTCTTACATGTTTGTTAAGACTATTCTGGAGAAAATGGGCATCCAGGGGAAGGTGCCAGCGATGAGCTTCTGGAGCTGATCTGGGAGGACATGAGGCTGCAGAGGGAGGCAGAGCAGCAGGAGCCCAGGAGAGAAGGAAGAACTTTGACAGCTTTTTACTTTGCTAGAAAAAAATGGTTAAGGAAGATTAAACATGTACATGTAAAAGAAATATCTAAATAAAATCAGTTCTGCATTAAACTCTTGAATTTTATTTTTGTTTACAAATGAGAATTGTTTACTAGAAGGTATCCGCTGGGTCTTGAAAAGTCTTAAAAGGTGATAAATCGGTTTTGGTCAAATTAAGACCCTTAGAAAGTATTAAAAACTATTATCACATCTTTGCTCAGGCTCAGCTAGTCTAAAGTATTTTCTCTGAATTAGCTCTCCAACAGTCAAGGAAATGATTAACCCCCAGAGACCCACGGTTGTAGTATTACAACATCAGATTTAAGTCTACAAGAATAAACCTTCCCCATTTTTTTTTCTTTTTAAAACCACATTTACATTGCTAATAGGTCCTATTGTTCAGTTCTGCAACACTATTGGCTGTTAAAATGTGTAAATAGGCCCGTTTATCTGGCCTCCTAGAACATGTGAAAGGTTAAAAAAATATTTTGCAGTTGTTTTCTAAATTTGGGTTTCTGGGGGTTAAAAAGCTAAATAAAACGTCGAGCTCCATCGTTTAAAGTTCCTTCTCCCTTCTGCCCAGCGGTTCCACGGTTGCTAGGCGACGGAACGTTCGCCGAGGGAGTTCATGAAGGCTAGGCCTGTCCAAATTCACAGCCGTTAACATCCGGTCTACCCGGCCGACGGAGGACGCAGCCCACGTCGGCCGGGTGGGCTGGGTCCTTCGAAGGATGCAGACCCTGAATTGAGACACAGCCACTATCTCATTATTATGAGATAGCTAAGTCATAATTTTGAGATAATTTTTTTCATTTGAGTGGCGGGAATGGGCTTCCATAATATTGAAACGTTTCAATATTGCAAACATTTTAATAGATACTTATTATTTTTTACATCTTAACAGATAATCTGACCCGTAACTATGGTAAAATGCTTCGAACGGAAGTAGACGCCTTCTGTGCATGCGTGGTACGGACGGACATCTCCTGACGCTCTTATGACGTAAAATACCGGAAAAACATGGCTACCAACCTGAGCAGCACCTGTCATGCGGAGAGTCCAGAAGACTGCGCCATCTGCTTAGACACAATTCAGGAGAGGAAAACTCTAAAATGTCTCCATTCCTTTTGCTCAGGGTGCATTGACTCTGTTTTCAGTCGCAAGCCTGCGTGTCCGGTATGCAACACCTTCCATGGAGTCTACACCGGGACGCAGCCCCGGGGCTCGATGACGGTGACCCGCAGCTGGCTGAGTCTGCCGGGCTTCGAGCACTGCGGCTCCATTGTCATTCAGTACATTTTCCCAGCAGGGATACAAGGGGTGAGGCTGCAGCTTTCAGCACAAATCTTTGTTTATTATGGCAACCTGTTTCTGCGCCATGCTCCGGTTAATCCGCCAGAGGGCGGTGTTGCATGGCTAAGCCAGCACACCTGATATTTCATTTGCAGAATTAACCAGAAAGTGAAATTTTATTCAAATGTTTTTAGTGAACAGCTTTGCTCCCTACTTTATTCATCCAACTTTCTGAACTGAGGGATTTCACTTACAAAACGACTAGAGAATAAATCCTTTTCTGCATATTTTAGGTAAACTTTAGCAAACTACTAGATTTTACTGCATATTAATTAGTTGTTGCAGTACAAAGTACAATAAATAATAGTGCAATACTTTCCAATAATTTGAAATGACCTACATTATTTGCAGTTAAGCAAAGAAAACATCAACTATTGACACAAAGGAATTTTCTGCTAAACTGAATGAAACATCCATCACCTTTGGGTAAATGTTCCCTAGTAGTTCTGTTTCTATAATCTATGTCAACAAATTAGTGCATCTAGTTTTCAAGCACTGCTCTAAGTCTCTATTGAAGCAGAGCTGTAAACGGTAACTTGTGTCTGAAATCCCAGCCTGAGCACCCGAACCCTGGGGTGAGCTACAGCAGCACGTCTCGTACCGCCTTCCTGCCAGACTGCGCTGAGGGAGAGAAAGTCCTGAGGCTACTAAGGACAGCGTTTGACCGAAGACTCACATTTACCATCGGCCGATCAGCCACCACAGGCCTCAACAACGTCATCACCTGGAACGACATTCACCACAAGACCAGCATCGGAGGCGGCCCACAGCAGTGCGTCTTCTTTTAAAATTTACGTTAAAAACAAAGATGATAATCTTCTTTCTTAACTGGCTAAAAGTGCTCATTTTAAACACTCAATGCAGGTTTCAGTGGGAGGAATGATCATTCCTAGCTTTTGTTTCAGCTTTTGAGGTCACCTGATGACAGCTAATGTTTATAGTTTTATTAAAAAGGACCAAATTCCTCATTCCTTAGTTGCAAAAAGAAAAAAAATTCTTACATCCGAGTGTGTTAATGATTGCTTTTGTTTTTCCATAAAATGATTAATGTTACATCTCTCTCCTTTACAGCTTTGGATATCCAGATCCAGAATACTTGCTCAGGGTTCAAGAAGAGCTGCGCCTCAAAGGCGTGACAGAAGATGGCTGATGAGCCACGATGCCCGTTAGATTTATTTTTATTATTATTATTTATAATAAAGTTTCAAATAGCACGTCTGCACTATTAAGCTGTTCTCCTTTTGGAGGAAAAGATGAATCCAGTTTTCCAAAAATTTTATCTGTAGTATGAAGAGATTATACTTGAAACATGTTTGTTACCTGAGAAAATAAAGATGGAGGAACTTTGTTACAATCATTAGAAGGACTTCATTCTTTCATCCAGTTAGACGTTTCAGTCTTTTTTCCTCTGCTCTTGTTTGGCTGGTACACTTGCCAAGTAAAGACTTGGGAGAGAGATGATTATGCTACACTTCAGCGAGATTTTCTTTCTGTTACTGTGTATTATAGTTTTGTCCCCAGACACAGCTATTTTAACAATTGCCTGCATGTCTGTATGTATAAATTATCACCAGTGTAAAGAACAAGTCATTTGGCTGTGAATTCTGAATAATGCTGCACTTTGTTACAATTCAATTAAAATTGTTTTAATATTAGTTTTTAAACTTCTTTAAAACATTAAAAGTTGCACAAAAAGACAATTATGAGCTTAGCGACCCAGTGGTAGAGTGTCCACCCTGGGACTGGGAGATCAGGGTTAAAAAAATATGACCTCCCTGCTTGACACTCTGCATTAATGAGCTGGATTGGATGGTTAAACCAACATTTTGTTCCCGAGCACTGCCGTGTCTGCAGCTCACCGCTCCCCACGGGAATGAGTCAAATGCGGAGATGTAATTTCACCAGTGTGTGGCGATTAATGGGAATTGAAAGCAGAAAAAAATAAATTCAGTATTTTTCTTTTTAAGTTTTTTTTAATGAGTAATGTTTTCAGCCAGATTTTACAATGATGTGTTGTCAGCAGTGCTTTAAAATGAACGCCATCTTAAAGGGGCATTATGGAAGTTTGACAGCCAAAACATGTATAGAAATAATAAATGTCTTCTTCATACATTCTCCTGCAATGCCCTGGTCCTGTAAAATGAGCCCTGGCATTTTTACTGTGATTGCCTATTTTTCTGTAAAATCACAGAAAAAGAGAGTTGCTCGGGTCGAGCAGGCTGCTTCATGCGCGTTCACCCTCAGGCATAGCCCGTAGCATTTGCTATCAGTAGTTTTAGCAGCAGAGAGTCAGGTAGTGCCAACTCAGCGACTTTGTCGCTGTTCCTAACGCCTAGTGATGAACCTAGCTACATTTCTAAGGACCCTTAGCTACTTCTAGATATTTCCTGCAAATTAGCAACAAAATAGCCATTTTCGCTCTGAACCGTTCTTTGAACGTTGTTTTAGCTGTAATCAAGCATATAAATATACAGATACCAAAACTGTCAGTGGTGGTTTAGCTCTTCTAGTTAGATATCAGATTCTCGTGCAGGGGACCTGGGTGAGAACAGTTTTTTTAGAGTTTCTTTTTTACATTAATGGTATATTTTTTTACAGTAAGATGCCCAAATTTTTATTTGAGACTCAACGAACGGCATTGAATTCACAGATAAAAAAGATGTGGGTTCAACTTTCATTTTGGAACAATTTTTCAAGCAAGGGAAGGGAATGATCTGAGCATGCAGGAAGGCTGACCCATCATAAACCTTTGTCAGCTGTGCTGAAGAGAAAGGTACAGAACCAAATTATTTAATTAATTAGCTGCGCGTTCTCCTGCCCTCTGTCCTCCGCCCCCCCCCACACACACGTCTCAGCTATTTTCGTTGAGTGTGCACGTACAGCACGCGCGCCTCGTGCACGAGGCTCCTATTGAAGCTGCCGTTACGCTTTTGGCCAGAGGGGGCAATTGCGAGCATAAAAATTCAAAACTCCGTAAAGTCCCTTTAATTTTCTACTTTTTTTTCTGTCATTTTTTCCTACTTGCCATTACACGCTGTGGCCACCAGAGGACGATAGATTCCTTAGTGAAGGCTGTTCGCTGTGTGCAACTCAGCCATCGAGCCCAAAGTCTAAAACAGAACAGCTGCAGCCGATGAGTCGTGTGATGTTTGGATCAGTTGTAGCTGCAACATCACACAACGGAGAGGATGACATGATGTTTGACCATAGTGAGTTTAAATAGTACCAAGTTCTTGGTAATAGAAAAGAATAGACTTTATTGATCCTACAGATGGGAAATTCACTCGTTAAGGCAGCACATAGACTAGGAGAAAAGGGGAAAATAATGCAGGTAAAGAAACAAAGGTAGTAGGCTATTAATGTAACCTTCTGCAACTAAAAAAATTAATAAAAATAGAAGATTGACATTCCAGCTTAAAGGACACAGACATACAAATGTGCATACAAGTATTGCACACATATTGAATATAGCACTGATGTTGGAGACAATGCCAGTACCAGTTAAACTGAGGAGTTATACACTCTTTCTGCAGAGGAGATGAATGACCTAAGGTAGTGTTCTGTTTTACATCTTGGATGTCTCAGTCTGCCTCTGAAGGAGCTGTCCATGGTCTCCACAGTGGAATGGAGTGGGATGGAGAGCTTTTCCAAGATGGAGGTCAGCTTCACCACCATCCTCTCTTTCTGCCTCGATCAGTGCTGCCTGCACCCCAAAAGACCATAGTAGAGTGAATAACAGAGGCAACAACTGAGTGATAGAAGGATTCTAGCAGATGGGGATTAACACTGAAGGATCTCAGTCTCCTCAGGAGGTGGAGGCAGCTTTGGCCCATCTTATACAGAGCATCTGTGTTGTTGGACCAGTTCAGTTTGTTGTTGAGGTGAACACCCAGGTACTTAAAGGTATCCACCACCTTAGTGTCTGCTCCCTGGATGTTTACTGGGTGAGGAGGAGTGTGTTTTTCTGGAAGTCAATCACCATTTCCTTTGTCTTACTGGTGTTTTAGTAAAGGTGGTTATGCTCACACCAGTCCACAAGGTTCATGATGACTGACCTGTACTCCAGGCCATTCCCCTCATATACACATCTGGCAATGGCCGAGCAATCTGAGACCTTCTGGAGGCAGCTGCTGGTGTTGTAGATAAGGTCCAAGTTGTAAAAGGTGAATAGAAATGGTGAGAGCACCATACCTTGTGGAGCTCCAGTACTACACACAACTACCTCAGACATGCAGTTGTGCAGCCTCACGTGCTCTGGCCTGTTGGTGAGGTAGTTGATGGTCCATGAAGTCATATGTCCATCCACTCCTGCACCTCTCATCAGCTGCAGTAAACATGGCTGGATAGTGCTGAAAGCACTTGAGATGTCAAAGAACATACAGTGGGGCAAAAAAGTATTTAGTCCGCCACCGATTGTGCAAGTTCTCCCACTTAAAATGATGACAGAGGTCAGTAATTTTCATCATAGGTACACTTCAACTGTGAGAGACAGAATGTGAAAAAAATCCATGAATTCACATGGCAGGATTTTTAAAGAATTTATTTGTAAATCAGGGTGGAAAGTAAGTATTTAGTCACTTCAAACAAGGAAAATCTCTGGCTCTCACAGTCCTGTAACGTCTTCTTTAAGAAGCTTTTCTGTCCTCCACTCGTTACCTGTATTAATGGCACCTGTTTGAACTCATTATCTGTATAAAAGACACCTGTCCACAGCCTCAAACAGTCAGACTCCAAACTCCACTATGGCCAAGACCAAAGAGCTGTAGAAGGACACCAGGAAAAGAATTGTAGACCTGCACCAGACTGGGAAGAGTGAATCTACAATAGGCAAGCAGCTTGGTGTGAAAAAATCAACTGTGGGAGCAATTATCAGAAAATGGAAGACATACAAGACCACTGATAATCTCCCTCAATCTGGGGCTCTACGCAAGATCTCCTGCAGTGCCAGACGTGTTTCGCTGCTGAAGCCAGTGCATGTCCAGGCCCGTCTGAAGTTTGCCAGAGAGCACATGGATAATACAGCAGAGGATTGGGAGAATGCCATGTGGTCAGATGAAACCAAAGTAGAACTTTTTGGTATAAACTCGACTCGTCATGTTTGGAGGAAGAAGAATACTGAGTTGCATCCCAAGAACACCATACCTACTGTGAAGCATGGGGGTGGGAACATCATGCTTTGGGGCTGTTTTTCTGCTAAGGGGACAGGACGACTGATCCGTGTTAAGGACAGAATGAATGGGGCCATGTATCGTGAAATTCTGAGCCAAAACCTTCCATCAGTGAGAGCTTTGAAGATGAAACGTGGCTGGGTCTTCCAACACGACAATGATCCCAAACACACCGCCCGGGCAACAAAGGAGTGGCTCCGTAAGAAGCATTTGAAAGTCCTGGAGTGGTCTAGCCAGTCTCCAGACCTCAACCCCATAGAAAATCTGTGGAGGGAGTTGAAAGTCCGTGTTGCTCGGCGACAGCCCCAAAACATCACTGCTCTCGAGAAGATCTGCATGGAGGAATGGGCCAAAATACCAGCTACTGTGTGTGCAAACCTGGTAAAGACCTATAGTAATCGTTTGACCTCTCTTATTGCCAACAAATGTTATGTTACAAAGTATTGAGTTGAATTTTTGTTATTGACCAAATACTTATTTTCCACCCTGATTTACAAATAAATACTTTAAAAATCCTGCCATGTGAATTCATGGATTTTTTTTTCACATTCTGTCTCTCACAGTTGAAGTGTACCTATGATGAAAATTACTGACCTCTGTCATCATTTTAAGTGGGAGAACTTGCACAATCGGTGGCTGACTAAATACTTTTTTGCCCCACTGTAACTCTCACAGTGCTTTTTATGCATCTGGAGGTGAGTCAGAGCCCGGTGCTGCAGGTAGATGATGATGTCCTCCACCCCCATATTTGGTTTAAGTTCAAACTGCAGATATATGCAAAGCTAACAGAAGTCCCTGTTCTGATCAGACTGCAACCGTATTATGAGGTGGCATTCCTGGACTCGGCCTGTTCAGTACCGTGACGTTATTGTTTCGGGGATTTTCTGTGGTCTTGGATCTCAGGGCATCTGCTACGCTCACATATCAAAGTAGGAACCCATCTGCTCACCCCCCCCCCCCCCCCCCCCCCCCACACACACACACACACATCACCACCTCACATACTGAGTTACAATCTAGTAATGGAAAGTGATTCTCAACGCACACACGAGTCAGGTGAGCTCAAACATCCTGAAGCTTTACCCATTAAGGTGCTGTTAGTTTAAAACTGGCGTGAAAGGCAGGTCGTTCATCTGATTTCATCCTAAACTAACTCATTGTCTTGATATCTGAAACTCAGCAAAGCAGA